CACCCGAACGGCCGCATGCAATTTCCGCGCCGCCCGTCCGATGGGCGGCGCGGCTAAGAAGCGGCCGAAGAGTGACTGGCCCGCAAACCAGCGCTGTCGGCGCGGCATGGTGGCCGTCCGCGCACTGAAGCCTCCCGACAACCAGCCCTCTCCGTGACGCCCTCTCCCACGCCCCCGCCTCCACCACCCGCCCGGTTTAGGATGAGCTGACGCGCGAGCTCAAGCACACGGGCGCGGGCATCCTCGCCATGGCCAACTCTGGGCGCAACACCAACGGCTCGCAGTTCTACGTGACCCTCGCGCCCTGCCCGCACCTCGACGGCAAGCACACCATCTTTGGGCGCATCTCGGGCGGCATGGCGACCATCCGCCGACTCGGCCTCGCGCGGACCGACTCCAACGACAAGCCGGTGGACGACCTCAAAATCCTGCGCGCGAGGCCCGCCTCAGAGTTCGGCAGCAGCGCTCTCGTCGCGACCAGGTAGCGAGCGGCGGAGAGGCGTCAGCATGTCAATCGCGTCTTCGGTGGAACCGGCGAATTTGTTTTTGAAAAGAAGAAACAACCGCTGCGGTCGCCGTGTGTGCTAGTGAGAGCCTCCCATGAGTGGGCTGCCACCTGGCTACCCGTACGGGGCTGCCGGGCAGCCGCCCGGGTATGGCGGGCCGCCGCCGCCGTTCCCTGGGATGGCGCCGCCTGGTATGCAGCCGCCGCCCGGGTATGGCGGGCCGCCGCCGCCGTTCCCTGGGATGGCGCCGCCTGGTATGCAGCCGCCACCAGGAATGATGCCGCCGCCGGGCATGATGCCGCCGCCGGGCATGATGCCGCCGCCGGGCATGATGCCGCCGCCTGGGATGCATCCGGGCGCGCCGATGGCGCCGCCCCCGAGCGGGGCCGGCGACGCCGACATGGAGGATGCCGACGGCGCACCTAGCGCGGAGATGCTCGAGCGCGCGCGAAAGTGGCAGTCGCTCAACGCGCGGCGCTACGGCGAGCGGCGCAAGCACGGGCACATCGACGCGCCCAAGGAGGACATGCCTCCGGAGCACGTGCGCAAGATCGTCAAGGACCACGGCGACATGACCAACAAGAAGTTTCGGCACGACAAGCGCGTCTACCTCGGGGCGCTCAAGTACGTGCCTCACGCCGTCCTCAAGCTGCTCGAGAACATGCCGATGCCGTGGGAGCAGATCCGCACGGTGCCAATCCTCTACCACATCACGGGCGCCATCACCTTCGTCAACGACATCCCCAAGGTGATCGAGCCCGTCTACATTGCGCAGTGGGGTGCGCGCCGCACTGCAGCGGCCACGAGGGCGGGCGGTCCTCGCACAGCAGCTCGCTTGGGCGGTA